GTGATGCGGCTCGCGGATGGAACGCGCTTCACAACTCGCAGCGTTTATGGTTCATGCAGCTTGTCTCTGCGGTGAGCCAATATTCTCCCAAACTGTAGGGGGCAGCATGGAGCTCTACGGCATGCATCCAACACTACACCATAGTAGAAGTAGAAATTACTGTTTACAACATGGCATTTCAGCATTTTTTAACAGCGTCCTCGTCTTTTCCGACAGTGCGAGCTATTTCTCTCCAAGAATTATTAACAACATGTTGATCACGGTGATCTCTGAGAGCTGAATCATACAAATGTCTGTATTTACGAACCTCTGCCATACTAGTTCTTGCCAGTTCACCAAGTTTTTCCGTGTCCGTCCGTCCGCGTGGTTAGAAATTTTCCGAGGTGCGCGTTGCGGAAATTCTGGGCCGTGCGGAGGTGCGGTGGAGGGGCGTGGTTGTTAAAATGGCGCAACTTTTCCGCGCGGAGCCGTGCGGACCTCGCGGACGCGTCAAGCATAAACCAACCTTAAGGGTCACCGCACCTACGCCGCAGCCACGGTAAACCCACCGAGATAATATATATTTTTTAAAACAAGACGGTTATTATTATTGTCAACTTTTTTACCGGGGTTTACCGCTACACCGGTTACCGTGACAACCCTAGTTGCTTTTTGAGATCTTTTAGCTGACTTCATGTGGCTCTATTGTAGTCATTCACTATTTATTTAGTACACTCAGTTTTACTGATAATGTGATTAATAACATTCTATTTATGATTTTAAAAGGGGGTCAATTACGTTTCACACCGAGCCAGTCTGGGTTGGATAGCTTTGCTCTGTTAACACATGAAATCATTTGTGGATTTTGTATTTACTCAGGTTATCTTTCTCTGATATAGGAAGTCGATCAGAAACATTTTGGTGATAAAAACACCAAAACAAGAAATCTGTTAAGGGTGCAACTGCTTTTCAGAACCAGTTTGGTCTCAGAATGGAACCATTTCATTTTATTCCAAGTGTTTGATGGGGTCAGTGCTCAGGGCTCCATTGCTCTGGAAAAAGATGACCTTTGAGGTTCACACGTGTGAAATCTTAGCTTGACTTCATCGTCAGAATGACTCTCTTCAGAATCAGACAGTGACAGGTGTTGATTCGACAGTGCAGGTGACTCTTTGTATTAAGGATCAAATCCAGATCAAGATCATTCAAGTTTGTAAGACTTCATATGTTAATGCTTTGTTGCAGTCCTTTTAAACTCATCACTTACTAACTTGATCTGACTTTCTTTCCTATGCACCCATTTTTGTCGGTCTCTAGATCAGCCCCTCACTCCTCCATTCACACAGATGCTCTGGCTGACAAATTACAGAGTTTGTCATTAATTACTTGTATCTCCCTGGAATGACACGGCTCCCCCGGGCAGCAGCTTCTCTAAACATCAGAGGTGCAGAGCTACTAAAGCGTCATCTGTCTACACTCAGTTTTAACTGTAGTTTGATCGTTTAGTCAGCTGTGAGGGTTGGCAGGACTTGCAGAGAAATATGGCCAAACAGACCAGAGTGAGGACCTGGCAGGTCTTTTGTTAGACACGGCCAATCTGGAGATGTGAGCATGTGTCTACTCTGCAGTCTGCTCGAATAAAACAACATAAAAAAAATTGATAGAATATTTCGAAGTGTTTCTGTCATGTGACTCAAAGATGGTTTAGTTTATAGGTTTGATGTTGCATCAAGGGACACGCTACGGTCATGTTGTCACAACGTGCCGGTGAGTGGAACGGAGGTGAGGATCCACACGCCGGGGAGGAATCAGGCAGGTAGACAAACTGGGTAACGTAAAAGGTTTTAAAAACAAACGCACGCAGGACACGGGAACAATGAGCCAAACAAGAGACACAGAACTGGAGGGGTTTAAATACAAGAGGGCTGGGAGCTTGGGTGATTGGGAAACGAGAGGCAGGTGGGAGCAATCAACAGAGACACAGGCTGAACCAAACGGGGAGACAGAAGAAGAAGAAAATATCATTTCTATAGTGCCTCTCAAGATAAAAATCACGAGGCGCTTCACAAAAACAAAAACAAAAAATATAAAACTTGTAAAAATAGAAAAAAAAGTATTTTGAAAATGTTTAAAAATATATTTAAAATGAGCAAGAATAAGCAATTGCGATTTAAAAGAAAAAATGTAAAGAAAGAGAGAGAGTGAACAGGAAAGAGGGAAATCAGTGGATCCTGAGGAAGGTGGAATAGGTGGGGAGAGCAGAATAAAGAGAGAGAGGTGAAGAAGGTCATACAAAAGCCAGCTTGAACAAGTGAGTCTTCAGCTGCTTTTTAAAGGAGACCACTGAGTCCACTGATCTCAGGCTCAGGGGGAGAGAGGTCCAGAGTCTGGGGGCCACAGCAGCAGATGTGTATTACTATTATTGTAGTTATTAGTAGTATTAGTAGTAGAGGAGTTCAAGTATCTCGGGGTCTTGTTCACGAGTGAGGGAAAGCTGGAGCGTGAGATCGACAGGCGGATTGGTGCTGCATCTGCAGTGATGCGGGCGTTGTACCGGTCTGTCGTGGTGAAGAGAGAGCTGAGTCAGAAGTCGAAGCCCTCGATTTACCGGTCGATCTACGTTCCTACCCTCACCTGTGGTCATGAGCTTTGGGTAGTGACCGAAAGAACGAGATCATTGATACAAGCGGCCAAAGTTTTATCCAAAGAGTGGCTGGGCTCTCCCTTAGAGATTGGGTGAGAAGCTCAGTCATCTGGGAGGGGCTCGGAGTAGATCCGCTGCTCCTCCACATCGAGAGGAGCCAGTTGAGGTGGCTCGGGCATCTGGTCAGGATGTCTCCTGGACGCCTCCCTGGTGAGGTTTTCCGGGCAACCGGCCAACCGGGAAGAGACCTAAAGGTATACCCAGGACACGGTGGAGGGACTACGTCTCTCACCTGGCCAAGGAACACCTTGGGATTCCCCCGGAGGAGCTGGCCCAAGTGGCTGGGGAGAGGGAAGTCTGGGCCTCTCGACTTAGGCTACTGCCCCCGCGACCCGACTCTGGAGAAATGGAAGAAAATGGATGGATTATTATTATTATTATTATTGTTTTTGTTGTTGTTGTTGTTAGGTGAAATATAAACAAAATGTAATCAATTGAAATTAAGTCAAATCCACATGTTAAGGATGAAGAAAGCCTGGACGGATCTTTGAAGTGACCGGTCGGTCTGAACAGAGGGAGTTCTTTATGGCGCTCATGTGGAGCTCATTCTCTTGTTCTTGTCTCCCTCTGCTGGCCATCAGCAAAACTCACCACCTCATTCAGTCTCAACAATTTCTAACTACAGTTCAGGCCGACAGTAACACATCTAAAGTTTCTGATGTACATGGTGGGGGGGTCATCAAACTGCCTCTGGCGTAATTCCTGCTGAGCTGATCTTCCTATGTGCGTCTGTTTGGAGGTGAGCGAAGGCGTTTCAACATGACTGAAAGATTGAGACGTCTGCTGTCTGTAGATCACTGCTTTTATTTGGAGGGTGTTTTCATGCTCCCTCTGGTGAGGATGGGGAGTGTTGACCTACCGGGAAAGTGACTCACGTCTCTGAGAAAATTATCCTGACTTTTCAGAGACATTTGCAAACAGACAATAACGTTTCTATTTCAAACCAAGAACACCAACGTCCTGTTCCATTTTCTACCCCTTAGCCTCACACTTTTTATAGAAGTGCTAAATTTTCTTCCATTTCCAGTTGGGCACAAAAGAATCAGTGAGTTTCTGTCTGCACATATTTATTTGGGTTGCAGCAAACTGAAGCACCAGTTTTCTCCATTTTTATGCATCAAAACGTGCAGTTCAGTCAATATTGGAGCAGCATCTGGTATCAGAAAGTGGAGCAGCATAGAGAGCATTCGCTAAAGACAAATACGTGATTTCAGTTCAACAAATGAGACATGCCCCCCGTTTAGAGCTCAATAATTCAGGGAGACTTCTCTGTGGACAGCAGAGCCATTTTAACTCGTATGTCCAGCATCAAACACGACTGAAACATGAACATTTACATCTGTGACCTCTGACCTTCCTATCCCAGTGGTGCACACGTCTCTTCCCTTTAACGATTAGCTTTAGCTTAACATCCGGAGGTTTGTTTGTAAGCCTGCTGTTGTCCAAACCTGCACGCTTGAGCAGGCGGTTAAAAAAAAACAAACAAATGCTGAAAGTTGTTTACATCTGGACAAATAGGATGCCAGCTCCATCGTCAGCGGCTGCATTTGCCGCCTTCACAAACATTCTAGCAGGACACAGAACAACGTTGAATGAAATACCACGATCATCGTGTGTTTCATTGCCGCCTGATTTCTTACAGCAATGTGTGTGTGCTCCAAACTCATTACAACATAGGCTAAAGGCCACATGACTCACCAGGGCACATCAGAATGAGCAGCCCGGAGACACCCGCACGGCGCTTTCTCACTCCTAACAGTGATGTCATAACCAGAGACTTCCTGAACACAAGGTTCATTTACAGAGCCCTCCTCCTGACATGGGTCGCAGCTGCAAACAGGCCGTTCCCATGGCAACCACAGCCCCTAGCCACACTAGTTCTCCTCTGGTTGTCGTGAGTGTCTTGAGGGGAGATTTGAGACTGAGCATGCACTGTCCTCAGTCACGTCTGTCCATGTCAACAGTGCAGAGACCGGAGCTCCGATGGTGGACGAGTTAGGCCTCCCATGAGTCCGTCTACCGATGGCTCAGAGCGGGAGGAGAGTGATGTGCTGCAGCTCGTTTTCCTCAAACGGTCGCTGCTGAGGCACCTGTGAGCCGGCTTTGCCACAGCAGAGGTTGTGTCTGTGTGTGTGTGTGTGCGTGCATGTGTGTGCATGCGTGTGCGTGCGTGTGTGTGTGTGTGTGCGCGCACGTGCATGTGTGTGTGTGTGTGTGTGCGCGTGCATGTGTGTGTGTGTGTGTGTGTGCGTGCGTGCGTGTGTGTGTGTGTTTTTTCATTATCAGAGCCTTAAATGCAAATGACTACAGAAGCTCATTCACAACATCTCTGGTTGTTTATTGCTTCTCTTGAGTTTACAGATGTCGCATGAAGAGACTCTTACAGAGGCACAAAGGAGTTCAGCTTAATTAAGACCACGAACAAAGACATTAAAACAGTTCATCATTATTAACCCATCTATTAGTAATGATGTCATACTGTGACACGACTATAGGATCAACTACAACACAACTTCTAGAAGGATGACTGCAAAGTTTTACACGAGACACAACAGAAACTTCAGACATTGACCAGTTTCTAATATTTACACAGAAAAGGGAAGGTTTAATATTTTATAACAGATTACATTCATTAACTATTAAAGGCTTTTGTGCACTGCTGGCTCAGTGACGAAATTATTGATCAAATAAAATATTTGACACTTTTTTTTTCCGAATTAGGGACCTCATAAACACAAACAATGCGATAACTTTATCGATAACTTTCAGTTATTATTCTTACATTTTCCTTTTCTACAGTGGCACAACTAAGTAAGTGATTACTGAGATGTTTCCATGCGGGTTTCCACACAGAGCTGGCCACGTCTTACCCATGGATCTTTGGGTGACGTCGGTTTGGAGACGCAGAAACGGATTTACAACAGCTGGTCGCCGCAGGCGAAGTGGGTTCTGCCATCTTAAAGCAACTCTCATCCCCCGTCGTGTAATTAAGCGTAACCACCACCGGATGTTGCTTTTCATGGTTTCATGGACACAATTGTTGTGAAATTCCAACTGGGAGTAGCTCTGCTACTGAGTTAAGCTGTAAATAACCAATTGAAAATAAACAAATAAACATGTGGTGTGAATTTTACAGCAGCGATGAGTTTTTTTAATTATTATTTAAGATGGCAGCGATCCACTTAAACCCAGATTTAGCCATTAGCTCACACATGCTGCCGTTTCCAAACTCAGATGGTTTAAGAAGCGGCCTGCATCAGGTAAGACATTATTGGTCAACTCACTTCTGATGTCATCACACAGAGAAGAGCTACACACAACAACACACCAGGTTTTTGATAGTATTTTGTTTCAGACTGACAGATGTCATTACAATTGATGAAACCGACAGACTTGTGATTGAAAAAGGTAAAGGACCCATTTAACTGATTCATTCTGACAAAATGAGCCTGAATTATTCCACAAAGAACTCATCAATTCATTACAAACATGTAAATCCATGACATCTCCGCATCACAGGCACATATGAAGAAATGTTGGCACCTTAACGCGATTAAATAGGAGTATAAAATAGTACATTATTCACATGATTCAGATATTATATAAAAAGTCCTAACCCTCCCCATTACCTATTTTAGGCGCTGCCATACTAATCCATAATTACATGCTTAAGGCGGCGTGCGCTGGACTTCGTTTAGAAAACTGCGCAGAAACGAGATGATCAATGTGAACGTTCTGAACAGTTTACACAAGAGAGATCTCGATAGCCTCACACCAGTGCTTTGTTTTTGGTATAACATGAACCCGTTGGGAGTATTTGGTAAAACGGTTGCTACATGAGGATTTTGCTCAACGATAAGGCAGACAGGTGGGAGTTTTTTTGCCTGAATAGTGAGGACAGAGCTCTTGGTTGCTCCCAATGCATCGTTTTGTTCTTTAACAGTTTCTGAACTCTATTTTTTCTGAGGGATCCTGTGCGTTTAACGCCTGAGTGCAGACGTCTGGTGATCCTTTCTGTTTACACCTTTTTTTATTGCAGGGAAAACCAACCAAAGCAAACACAGAGGCCAGGAGGCGATGTTTCTGACCGTGTAGGTGAAGAAACACTTCACTGGCATTGTTGGTGGACGTGCGCTGCCTCGCTGGAAAGCCGACGCTTGTGTGTACGTGTGTGTCTGAGGATAAAGGCGGAACCAGGATATGTTGTCACTTCCTGCTGCGGGTCTTCATTTATGTTTGTCCTCTGGCCTGAACGCCCGTCAGGTCCTTTCTTATGATCTCATTCACTGTAGAACAAGTAAAGAGTGAGATATTAGACAATGACAGGATAAATGTTAATCAATTCCCAAAAAATATCTCAGAACAACAAATTTTCCTCAAACGTGGTTGCCAAAGAAACAATCCAGTCTGACAACTCTGCAGCTCAGGAGGCTGATAATCAACTCTGATGATGAGGGACCTCTAGAGGTAGCAGCATTTACTCACTGATCCTCAGACAATTACAAGTGTGTATAAACACACACACAGGCTGTGCAGTGGTGCAGTGGTTAGAGCTGTTGCCTTGCAGCAAGAAGGTCCTGGGTTCTCTTCCCGGTCGGGGATCTTTCTGCATGGAGTTTGCGTGTTCTCCCTGTGCATGCGTGGGTTCTCTCCGGTTTCCTCCCACAGTCCAAAAAACATGACTGTTAGGTTGATTGGTCTGTCTAAATTGTCCGTAGGTGTGTGTGTGTGTGTGTGTGTGTGTGTGTGTGTGTGTGTGTGTGTGTGTGTGTATGTGTGTGTGTGTGTGTGTGTGTGATGGATGGATAAACACACACACACACCCACGCATGCATGCACGCACATGTGTGCACACATTAACACACACCGCTGCAGGAGGTGAGAGAGGGTTGAAGTGGAAACTTTCATGGTGCCACAGTTCTAAAAATAGCAGCTCATTGTGTGTGTGTGTGTGTGTGTGTGTGTGTGTGTGTGTGTGTGTGTGTGTGTGTGTGTGTGTGTGTGTGTGTGTGTGTGTGTGTGTGTGTGTGTGTGTGTGTGTGTGTGTGTGTGTGTGTGTGTGTGTGTGTGAGTGAAAGGGAAGTGGCACAACTTGAATTACAACTGCCATCACACTTCCTCCTTGAGTCAGCGAGTCCGTTCAGGTAGTTTCACACTGAGCAGGAAGTAATGACAAGCATGCATCCTCCTTCTGCTGCATGGTCTGTGGCGAGCTCTGGTGAGAAGCAAAGTCTACAAGGTGTCTGTCTGCCTGTCTCTATCTGTCTGTCTGTGAACACTGATGCTCAACAGGGTTCCAGTGTGCCTTGGGGAACTCATTACGTCTGATGAATCTTCAAGCTTTTTGTTGCAACTGAATCCATCACAAAAGCATGTCCTGATTTTTAAACCATGCTGATGAGCAGTTCTCAATACCTTAGTGGGCGTGGCCAGCAACAGCTTATTTGCACTAAAGTGACAGAGCCCTTAAACAGCTCATTCTGGAAGGTACCAAAACAGCTGCTGAGCTCACTTTATGCGAGACTGATTTTGTGCGAGAAATGTCATGAACACATTTTCTACTGACTGCAGAGCAATTATAACTTGTTTACAAAAGATGTAAAATATCCCCTTTAAATAAATGAGTGGACTGGAGATTTGCAGTTTCTCTTACTTTTGCTCTTTCTGCTATTTTCCATTCATTTAACTAAACTAGTAGCTCTCTGTCAGGTAGTTGTAGCTGTAGACAAATCTAACTATTATAAAGCCTAAAAGGAATCGTTATGATGGAGAGATAGCAACAAGGACATCCAGCTACTACAGAAATGAAATAAACAACAGTTATAAGCAAAGTGACATGCTGTGAAAATATTCAATAAACTGAACAAACTTCACTTCTGGCTTAGAGTTGGAGTTGTTTTAGATGTCGGACAGCTATTCCACCTCTGCTCTGATCAGCTGTTAACCTCCTCCCCACTAAGAGTTTCATCCCGGCCTTTCTGGCAGAAACTGCCATTTTAATATGATTCACAAATTTCTTCTAATCAAGTTTGAGCACAACATTCACAATGTACGCTAACACTTACAAACATGGTAAAACATGACATCATACCAGTAACCTAGGGATGCACGATATATCGGCATCAATATCGGTTAGATGGTAGTCATTTTTGTTTCAGAGGGTCGGGATGGGGTGGGGGGGTGGTCATGTGACAGTGATTGTAGTCCTCTCAGAAGTGTAAATGTGTGTGGTGTGTGTACATAACGTAAATTCTGCTTTAATAATATAAATTCTATAAAAAATCTGCTGATTTTAAAAGCATTAATGTCAGTATATCGGTATCTGCAAATATCGGTTATCGACCATAACAGTGATTTTAATATCGGATATTGGTATTGGCCCAAAAATTTCATATCGGTGTATACACCAGCCCATTAAAAGTTATTACTGCACAGCAAGGATCTCGCAGAAATTCGTTTGGGAACTGCGCTGCTCTGGGTGGCTGCATGTTGACTATATGTAAGTTTAGTCTTTTTTTGGACATTATTTATTCTAGTTTCTCAAGAAAAACTGTTTTTTTTTTACATTTCCTTTTCTGTTTCTGGTGCTGTGAAGCTTAGAGGATTTTTACTGCAATTTTTTTCACTTTTTGAGCATTTGTTATGATGCGTAACCATGGCAACAAGCTGGTTTACAATCGGGACAGCTGATTAACATTGGAAAGGCTGAAATAATGCCTCAAATGAAGCCACAAATCCCAAATGAGCTCAAATGCAAGAAGTGTGGGTGCAGAGCGGGAGCTAAACGAGACAGAGAAAGAGGAAATTCAAACCATCTCTTCCATCAATCATAATGGGCGATGTGAGATCACTGGCCAACAAGATGGAGGAACTCCAAGCCCTTTCAAGTACTCAGCCAGAGTATCAGCAGTGTAGTGTTATGTGTTTCACTAAGACGTGGCTGCAGGACCATATCCCCGATTCCAGCGTCTCTCTGTCAGGATTCCTGACTGTACGAGCAGACAGAGATCTGAAGAGGAGCGGGAAAAGAAAAGGAGGTGGAGTGGCAGTGCTTGTCAACAACAGATGGTGCCATCCAGGTCATGTTTCAGTGAAATGTCGTCTCTGCAGCCCAGATGTTGAACTCTTGGCAGTAAGTTGTTGCCCATATTATTTGCCAAGAGAGTTCACCAGTGTTGTCTTGGCAACCGTTTATATTCCACCTTCAGCCATTGCTGAAAATGCATGTGATGCCATCAGTTCCGTTGTCACTAAGCTACAAACCCAGCACCCCAATGCATTTGTGGCTATATCTGGTGATTTTAATCATGCCTCGCTCTCTGCTACACTTCCAACATTTCAACAGTTTGTCAGCTGCACCACCAGAGAAAACAAGACATTGGATGTGTGTTATGCAAATGTAAAGAATGCATACATGTCTAAAACAAGACCTCCTCTGGGACAATCAGATCGCATTCTTGTTTTTCTCTGCTCAGAATACAAACCACTTGTTCAGAGGCAACCTGTGACAAGAAGAACTGTGGAAAAAATGGTTGCAGGATGCTGAAGAAGCACTGCAGAGTTGTTTTGAGACCACAGATTGGATGACTCTCTGCCAAGAATATGAAGAGGACATCAATGCCATGACTGGATGTGTCACTGACTATTTAAACTTCTGTGTGGACAACATCATTCCCACCAGAACAGTGAGATGCTTCGCTAATAAAAAAAAAAACCTGGATCACCAGTGAACTGAAGAATCTGCTAAATGAGAAAAAAAGAGCCTTCAAGGAGGGAGACAGGGAATTATTGAGGAGTATACAGAAGCAACTGAAGATCAAGATCAGAGACAGCAAGGAGGCATACAGGAAGAAGCTGGAGAACAAACTACAGAGGAACAATATCAGAGATGTCTGGTCAGGGATGAAGAAGATCACAGGCTTCAAGGTGAGGAAGGATAGCAAAGATGGCAGCCTGGACAAAGCGAATGAACTGAACAAGTTCTTCAATAGGTTCAGTTCAGGAACAAACCCAGCATCCTCCTCGCCGGTCCCCAGCCAATCAGACATCCCATCCTCCTTTGATCCAACATTTTCCTGTCACACACCAGCTCTTTTGTCTTCTAATGCAGTCATGGACTCTTGTGGGTCTATAAATCTGTTTTCAACCAAGTCAGGAGATGCTGCTGCCCCAGTTACCTCCCACTCCCACCTATCTGTCTCTAGAAGTCAGGTGGAAGAGGCAGCTGGAGAGAATGAACAGGAACAAGGCTGCAGGTCCAGATGGTGTCAGCCCCAGGGTACTGAAGGCCTGTGCAGAGCAGCTCTGTGGGATTCTGCAGCACCTCTTCAACCTCAGCCTGGCCCAGGAGAAGGTTCCAGTCCTGTGGAAGACACCCTGCCTTGTTCCAGTTGCAAAGAAAACTTGCCCATCAGTCAATGACTACTACAGACCGGTTGCCCTGACATCCCACATCATGAAGGTCCTGGAGAGACTCCTGTTGGTCCACCTGAATAAGCAAACTAGAACATATCAGGACCCACTGCAGTTTGCTTATCGCCATGGAGTTGGAGTTGAAGATGCCATCATCCAGCTGCTTCAACCAATCCACTGTCATCTGGACAAAGCAGGCAGCACTGTCAGGGTCATGTTCTTTGATTTCTCCAGTGCATTTAACACAATTCAGCCTGATGCACTTTGCCAGAAACTCCAGAAGACACAGGTGGGGGCCTCAACTATCGCCTGGATTAAAGACTACCTGACAAACAGACCACAGTTTGTGAGGCTGAAGAACTGCACATCAAACCAGGCGATCAGTAACATTGGAGCACCACAGGGGACTGTACTCTCACCATGCCTTTTCACCCTGTACACCTCAGACTTCCAGTACAAATCAGAGACCTGTCATCTACAGAAATACTCAGATGACTCTGCAGTTGTCGGGTGTATCAGAGATGGACAGGAAGCTGAGTACAGAGAGCTGGTGGAGCGCTTTGTGGCATGGTGTGGAAACAATCATCTGACCTTGAATGCCACCAAAACAAAGGAGATGATTTTAGACTTCAGAAGAAACAGGGCGGAGTCAAACACTGTTTCCATCATGGGAGAAGAAGTGGAGATGGTTGAGGAATACAAATACCTTGGAGTTCACCTGGACAACAGACTGGACTGGAGAAAGAACAGCGAAGCCGTTTACAAGAAGGGACACAGCAGACTGCACTTCTTGAGGACGCTTAGGTCCTTCAACGTCTGTAGCAAGATGCTGCAGATCTTCTACAAGTCTGTTGTTGAGAGTGTAATCTCTTCA